AGCAAGGTAAACAGAGTGAAGTAATACAGTTTGCAAATGACAATGCAAACCACAGAAACACACAGAAAGAGAGCAGACAAATTCATTCCCTGGCTAGGAAATTGCTAAGCATACAGAGGTAGGGGGAGATGCAGGGGAATTTTTGGCTTCTCCCCTATAAATAATCTTTGCTGGTACAGCACAGGTGAGAGGTAGAAGGGGTGGAGGTGGGACAGGGGCCAACCCAGAAACGTTACTGAAATATGCGAACAGCTGAGGTTCAATCAGAAACCATCTGAGAGAGAAATTATTCCCCACAATCAGAATGGATAGGAATGTATTGTAATCTGGGTGCAGTACAACCAGGGATTTACATACACTAGTGCTGAATTTGGCTTAACATGACTCTATGGCTCATTGATTCTTGAACCTGTTCTACCAACAAACATGATCTGCTCGGATGCTGAGCTCCCACTGAAGTCACGAAGCAGGGCCGAAAGAAGCAACTTTGAAACTGCAGATAAACTGGAATGGCCTCATTTGGGTGTAACAGTCCCAAGCCACACTGGTCAGATTGTATTGTACCAGCATGGCTCGGCCAGTGCCTTCTAATGGACAGTTACATTCAATCCTGTATATTTAAATTACAGTCCCAGCTGCTGAAAGTTGGCTGAGGGGGCAGAGTTAGCTCTAGTTAGTTCCCATCTTGCCTTGCAGATGCTGGTGCCAAGCTCCCCTCTTGCTTGACTTGATTGGTGCGGCTGGTGCCCAGCACTTTTGAATCCGAGGCCCCCCAACGACGACAGGAAAGGGCAGATGATTCTTTGTTGAAAGAATCCGACTCCAAATTCCTGCTTTGTTTGTTTCCCTCTCTCTGCCTCTCAGGCTATTTTGGGAGGAAGGTGTTTGCATAAGAGGCACTTTACAATAATGGTTTCATTCCTGCAGAGCCATGCAGCACCAGGATATGTTTTGCAGCTCACAATGTCTTTAGTGCAGAGATGTACTGAGACAGAGGCTACAGCTCAGCTCAGGGCCAGCCTTGCAATTTGTGGGTGAGCTGCTGGGAGGAGGACATAAATGGGGCTGAGAGTTGTCTCTCCCTTTGGCCCCACTGTGGGGGTCAGTGGAGATCAGAGTGGGCCATGACCTTTTCTGTTTGTTTGTCCCCCGGCAGACACCATACTCTGAGATGTGAATGGTATCACTTCTTTGCTATCTTACTGCCCTGGGGAACCATTTATTTGGAAGCTGAATCCCATAAAAAATACACCATAAAATAGAATGATCACAAAATCATGTCCTCCTGCAAACAAGCTGCTCTGAAAACCTAGAGGCTATACACCCCTCATGGACCATACACTAATGGAGGCCCTGGGTCAGTTTTCAGCTCAATGCTTTCCCTATTTCTCTCTCATTTTTGGGTGTCTCTCCCTAGTGGCCATCTGGACACAAAGGCCAAAGTTACCACAGTTACAACCCTGCAGTCTGCAGAATGGTGAGGACACCACATTTCCTGTGCCGATGTAAATGTAACTGCAATTAGTCCTTGGAGGAGGCCCGCATTGGAAACAGTCTGAGCTCTAGAATGAGATGATCCTATTTAACAAACTCAGGGCTCTCTGTGTGTGAGTCATGCAGATCTCTGGTGGATGGAAGAGGATGGGGAAAAAGGAAGGGGAAAATTCTGCCCTCCAAGCCATTTTGCTGAATCTGACCTCAGGAAAGACCCCGTCTCAATCTGCAGCCTCCTCTAATTGCTGCTTCCCTCCCACAAAACAATGTTCATTAAGGACAAGGGGAAGGGACTGCCAGAAGTGAATGGTAGCAGGAAATATATCCTATCCCTACACCACGCAATGACCACTGGCGGCCAATCAACAACCGTTGTCATTGGCCATTAACTAGAGTGGAAAACTGAGGTACACAAAGCATAGCTCTTCCCACCAAGAAGCAAGGGTGACACCAAGCGACAGACGAGACATCCTCTCTATTCCAGTACCTGCACTATGAGGGAGAATGCATGAGTGAGTCCCACTGATTATCAGAAATGATAATATACCTCATCAAAAAGTGTTGAGGAAAACTAGTGCCCGGTCTTGGGGGAAGGAGAGAGATGGCAGAGATACTATTATGCATTAGTGCAGTCTAATCTCAGTGATAAGAGGGAATCTCAGTTCAGATCCTTGGGGACATGATCACATGAAAAACCACCAAAAGTGGTTACCTTTTTGGGATCTTACCACAGAGGCCAAGGATTAATTGGGCCCTGGAGATGAACTAATCTGTCACACCTTTGAAATGGCCCATTGGTGGAGAGGCTGGTGCATGGGGACATGCTTGCCAGCTGTTGCCTGCACTGGTGATCTATAGAGGTTTCAATCTTTAGCACTGCTGGAACCTGTATTTTTCACTGGCACAATATTCACCTTTTTATACCAATGGTCGAAATGCCGAACCCTTGTGATTGCATTGTGTTCTGATAACAGTAGGTCAGCTGCATCCATTGGGGACTGGCATAGGGCACAGTTCAGACTGCATCACTTCTGTCATATTTAATGATCAATAGAGCCTACAAACACAGGGGCTGTTGTTGAATTAAATGCAAAATACACAACAGGAACATTGGTGAACCTCTCACTGAGAGGAGAGAGATATTCCAACCACCATAGGAAGGGGTTAAACAGGAAAAAGGTTTTCAAACCTGTGACGATTTTCACTGCCTCACTGAAGGACCAGGTGGCAATGCGACAGCACACACTTGACTCTCTTCGCTGGAGGCGACCAGGCTTCCCAGTTTGCTTGGATCACAAATGTGATGAATTTGCTGGTCACAAGGGGCCAGGTCTTTTCCCTTTAGAATGGGACATTTTGAGTTAGCAAAATTGTTGCTCTCGTTGACTGCTAATCTATTCCCAAGTGGCAATTAGGAATGTGATAATCTTACTGGGAATGAGCAAAGCCAGCGATCCTCGGGGAGGAGGGTGGGGTGGGACTCTTCTCTGAGAACTGATGTGACGAGAGCATTAGAGTCTTGGAGGAGCATGGTTCTCTCTGACTAGAAGGGCAGTGAAATGGGGCACAGTGTGCCCTCCCCACATTGAGTATCAGCCTTTTGGCTGGGGCGATGGTGCTTTCCCAGGAGGGGAGGAAATACTGGAAAGTGAAGGGTCAGGAAGGCTCTATGGTGGATGGCCAATGAGAGCTGGACTGAAGAAAGCAGGCAGTGGGGCAGTACAGGAGGGGGATGGTGCATCACTCCCAGTCCTGAGGGGGGAACACCCACAACACATTTTGGAAAGACACGTTTGTGACAAGGTGTAATGGAATGCACTTGTGTGGTCACCTTATGAAGTATTTGAAAACTAATATCTCACTGGTCAATAATATCACGGTGGAATGTATGTGGCAACATTGTGTGTAAAGTTATGAAATTCCCCCCTGTATAATGTTAAAGACCCATGTTTAAAGTCATGTAGCCATTAGGTAAAGCTGATCAAGCAGGTCTTAAACAAAGGGATATGTGTTTACCTCAATTTGCATATGAGCTGTAAACAGAGTCTTCAGACAGAGGGGAGAGAAGGAACAGCATGAAATCTCTCTCCTCCTCCCCCCCGCCCATGTCTCCTTGCCCTCCACTGGAAAGAACTTTATCTAAGGGTCACTCTCAGGGAAATGCATTTCAAAGGGTGATTAAACTATACAAGTAAGAGGCAAAACCACTCCAAGTTCTCTCTCCTTATCCATCTCTCTTGAGCCTAAGAAGACAAAAGAATCCAGCTCTTTGACTTTGGGAAGGATCCTGACCTGAAGATTGGTCAGTAATGTTGTTGGAAGCATATGGTAAGAATTTTACCTTGAACCAGGCCTAGTTTTTAAAAGTTTAGTACAGTATCTTTTTTTCTTATAACCATTTTTTACTTAAATGCTTTAGTACTTGTACTCACTTAAAACCTATCTCTTTGTAGTCAAATACACTTTTTTGTTCTTTAATCAAAATTAATCTAGTGTTGTGAACTGTGTGGGTAATTCCAATTAAGGTGGCAAATTGTATATTGTTCCTTTGGGACAATGGACCTTTGTTATCTGATCTGTCCAGGAGAGGGCAGTACATTTTTTTTGGGGGGGGGGGGGGGGGGGAAATCCAGGACGGGGAGTGTGTGGGGGTTACTCTGCATGTGGTAATCAAGGCTGCTGGAAGCCAGAGTGTGGCTGGCGTTTGCTGACAGGCTGCTGGGGTCAGAACTGCTGGCCCAGGACTGTGGCTACACACAGACACTCAGGGTGTGACCTGCATGCTGTTTGGCAGGAGCCCAGGTTAGGAGCCACAACAGCAAAGCATTGTGTGGCACCCACGGTTGAAGGGCAGACGTGACACAGCCCCTCGCTGCTCTGGATTGCCCCCCAAAATGTCATACAAGGGAAGTAGGGTGGTGCCCAGGTATTACTGCAGAAACACTGGCCCCAATGGGCAACCCAGAGACGCAGCCGATGGGCAGTGGGAGTGTGCACCTGGGAGAGAGGTCCCAGTTCGCATGGGGTTTCCCCTACACCCGCCGTGCCCCTCAGAGCCAGACTCCCCCCGGAGTCTGCCAGCAATGGCTGTAAGGCGAGGGGTCATGCTATGAGTACGGGAGGGGCTGGGGTGGGCGCTGCACCCTGGGCAGGGAGGTGCCTGAGGGGCACAGCTGGCTGGGGGGGGGGGCAGGGAGGGGTGCGGTGAGTACAGCTCCCTACTGGGGTGAGGGGAGGTCAGGGGGTGCCCTGCACTGCTGGGGATGTGGGGCGCATCTCCCATGATGCCCGGCTGCCGTGGGTACCAAGGTCCCTGGCGGCTCTGAAGGGCCCTTGGTCCCCCCAGCCCCGCAGTGACTCCTCCGGCCGCCAGGGGCCACTGTCTGCCGGCTGCGGCTGACACTCGGCGCCTACCTGACGCCAGGCCCCGTGGCCTCCGGAAGCACTTCCGGGCTGGCGCGGTACCCTCTTGCGCTCGTCACCAAGGCTGAGGAGGAGTCGTTAGCTGCGGCGCCTTGGCGGAAAGATGGCGGCGGCCATAGAGTGACCGGACGGCGGAGGCGTCGGGATCCCGCTGCGGCCCGGAGAGGTGAGGAGACGCGCGACGCCCATCAGCGCCCCCGGCTCCCGCCGCCTCGCGCCCCTCCCGGGGGACCGCGGCCCTGCAGCGCCCCGGCGTCTGGAAACCGCAATCTCCGTCTGCCGGGGCGCCCAGGCCCCCCTCACTCCGTGAGCCTCCCACCCCCGGGCCCTGACACTGGGGCCGCCTCCGGGGGAGCCTCCCGCGCCCCCTCTTCTCAGCAGGCATCTCCAGCGCACCCCGCCTCTAGGGTCCCAGCTGTGTTACCCTTGCGGTGCCCCTGCTCCCCCAGGAGACCCTCTCCCATCTCTCCCCCCCCCCACACGGTCTGGTATAGGGTCGTGCTGCTCCCTGTCCAGTACAGCGTCCTCTGTGTTTCCTTCCCAGGGAACGATGAAGTGATGGATCATGACGCTCCGACCATCAGGCCCCGCAGAATCCAGAACCAGAATGTCATCCACCGCCTGGAGCGCCGAAGGATCAGCTCTGGTAAGGCCGGCACCCACTGGCACCAGGTCCGGGTCTTCCACCAGAATGTCTTCCCCAACTTTACTGTGGTCAACGTTGAGAAGCCGCCCTGCTTCCTGCGCAAGTTCTCCCCCGATGGGCGCTACTTCATCGCTTTCTCCTCGGACCAGACCTCCCTGGAGATCTACGAGTATCAGGGCTGCCAGGCAGCAGAGGATCTCCTGCAGGGTTATGAGGGAGAGATCTTGGCCAATGGCAACGACCAAAGATCTGTCAACATCCGTGGGCGGCTCTTTGAACGTTTCTTCGTCTTGCTTCATATCACCAACGTGGCCTCCAATGGTGAGCACTTGAACCGCGAGTGCAGTTTGTTCACAGATGACTGTCGCTATGTAATTGTTGGCTCTGCTGCCTACCTGCCCGAGGAACCTCACCCCCCATTTTTTGAGGTTTATCGCAACAGTGAGTCGGTGACCCCTAATCCCAGGTCCCCTTTGGAGGACTATTCTCTGCATATCATAGATCTTCACACAGGTAGACTGTGTGACACAAGGACATTCAAATGTGACAAAGTCATCTTGTCTCATAACCAGGGCCTATACCTGTATAAGAATATCTTGGCTATTCTCTCTGTGCAGCAGCAGACTATTCATGTCTTTCAAGTGACACCTGAGGGCACATTCATTGATGTACGGACTATAGGTCGCTTCTGCTATGAGGATGATCTCCTGACCCTCTCCGCTGTCTATCCAGAAGTGCAGCGAGACACTCAGACAGGGATGGCAAACCCATACAAAGAGCCCTTCATAAATTCTCTGAAACACAGACTGTTGGTGTACCTGTGGAGGAGGGCAGAGCAGGATGGGAGTGCAATGGCAAAACGGAGGTTCTTCCAGTACTTTGATCAGTTGAGGCAGCTGCGCATGTGGAAAATGCAGCTGTTGGATGAGAGCCATCTGTTTATTAAATACACCAGTGAAGATGTGGTCACATTGCGGGTGACAGACCCTTCACAGGTAGGGCCTTTCCTCTTTGGGCAGCTTATTGCTTTGTTGAGCTTATTCCCATGCAGAAAAATACTAGACGCTACATTTCTGGTCTAAGTGCTGATTTGGGTCTTTGAGTGTTGGGTAGAAATGTTCTGTTCTCCACAGTATATAATTTGGATCCTGTTGTGAGGGGCCTTGGTGGTATCTTTGATGGTATTTAGTAAGATTCCCCCTCTCACAATGTCAAAACTTAATAGAAATTAGAGAGAGAGAAGACCAATGTGGTTATACAATTTCATCTTCTTGTAAATGCAGGATTGTTTCCTATACTACACTTATTGGTGCTTTGCCAAGTCTGTTGTTGTTTGTATTTTAGTAATCAGGATCAGGGACCTATTATGCCTCGCATTGTACAAATACAGGCTACAAAATAGTCTCTCTCCTGATGAGCGTACAATCTGATTAGAATTGTAAATGTCCCAAGTGACAGTATTTCTACTTCCGTTGGGACACTCATTATTGGGATTTGCTCCATAAAACTCATTCTACATTTTTCTTAATTTCTTCCAGTTATTCCTAATTATATCCTACTGCTACCCTACATATTGTAACCTTTTCCCATCTTTGGTATATATACCTTTCAGTTACCTGTAGAGAGTCATCCAGTCATTCCCCATCAGATGTCTTACACAAACTATACAATTAGTTCTTTAATTTAGCTTCTTATTTCAACCCCTCCAGCCTGCTGATCATTTTGTTCCTTTTCCCCACTCTCACCAGTTTCTTTCTGTTGAAGGGTGCCCAGAACTAAAAAGTGCTTCAGAGGCAGTCATGCCAGAGTAATATAAAGAAAGGACTGTTAACTTCCCTACTCTGTGGTCTACAGACTCTGCATGTGCCACCCCAAACTGACTTTTTTTTCTTGCCATATTGTATTGCATAGTTGGATCTCTAAGCCATTACTGCTTTCTAGATGCTTCTCTCCTATTAGGTATGTGTGTTTGAGTATTTTTCAGATGTAATAGCTGACATTTTTCCAAGCTGAATCTCACTTTTTCTGCTTACAATTCTAATCTCTCAAAGCCTCTTACTATCTTTCTGTCCTGGATGGTATTCACAACTCCCAATTATTCCTGGAGGAATTGTGCACCAAACAATTAAGAATTCTGCACACAATATTTTAAAATTCTGTAAAATTCTGCCTATTTTATTTGTCAAAATAACAATATAACCAGTTTCAATTATTTTGGTAGTTTATTTCAAAATACCTGTCAGCAAGTATGTCTGTAACAATACAGACAACAAAAAAGATTCAGGAAATGGTTTTTGACAAATAGATTCCTTACTAGGCATATTAATACAGAACTTTGAGTAATAATTCATTTAAAGTACAATACAGAAATGTATTTCCCGCACCACTCCAAAGCAGTGCAAAGGCTTTGGGAAGTTGGGGGGTAACGGAGGAGCGGAGGGAGAGGGAAGTAATTGCTGGGAAGGAGCCTGGGAGAGAATCTGGAGGGTTGTTGGGTGTGGGTTGGGGAAGTATGGAACAAGGTGTTTCTTTTGGAGGGGGGGCAATTGTTTGGGAGTTGGGGAGCCTCCCCCATGCAGACCCTGGCTGACCTCTAGCCTCTCCCATTCAATCAGGCACATCCGAACCTGTCCTTGTGTGTCCCTGCACCCCCACACCCCATTCAGCCAGGCATATCTGCAAATATGCCCGTGTGTCCCTGCACCCCCACTCTCCTCTTTCCCCATGTGGCCCTGCATCCTCAATCAGCTATGCATAGCTGCCCCATCTCCATGTGTCCCTGCACCCCCACTTCCCATTCACCCAGGCATAGCTGCCCTTATTCCCCTGTGGCCCTGGACCCCCATTCCCATTCAGTCCCTGGCTCAGTGTTGTCACCCCACTGGACGCAGGGGCACAGGAGCTAATCTGTCTCCCCTCACTAGCTATTATGAACCCCAGTCTGCGTGACCCCTCCAGCAGCCCCATGTGCCCCACTCTCTGCCCCTCTCATCCCCCCATTCCATGCCTCCTTACCTGGCCCTGCAGGCAGGGTGCTGTAAGGAAGACAGCATCTGCCCCCTCCCTCTCTACGGTTGGCTGCTCCTGCTCATTAGCCAGTTGCCCTCTCTTCTGGTGGGCAAAAGATGTAATTGTAGTGTGACCCCTCACATGACTTCCCTTTGCCTTCCTGTCAGAATCAATTATTTTGCGGGAGAAAAAAATCTGCTGGGGACGTTAATTCTGTGCTTGTGCAGTGGTGCAGAATTCCCCCAATTTAGTATCATCTGCTATCTCTAACTAATATGTTGTTTACTCCCATTTCCAGGTCGGTAATGAAGTTAAATCAGACCAGCTCTAATGCCAATCTCTGTGGTAGACATCCCTTACCCCTCTGCCCGCACCATAACACAACATGTTTATCATTGCCTTTTTTTCCTAGAGATCTTCAGTTTTCAATCCACGTGAGATTGGTCTGAGACTACTTTAAGTTTTTTAATCTACTTAATTCCTTTCATCTGCTTATTTTATAATTCTATTAAAGATGTCTGGCAAGAACTCTTTCTAAACTTGCAGTGCTGCTCATTGCTCACTGTTCTGTTTTCTCTGGAAGTTTCGTGACTCCCTTCCTGCCCCCCTCAATATTTGTCCCATTGTTTTTCAAGGGCTAGAAGTTGGAATGAATGGATGTTAGCTGTTCGCTTTGAAGCTTTCTTTGTATGTTACTTCTTCCATTGCGCACATACATTAGTCTGCTGTAGAGTCACAAAGAATGTTAAATCAGTGGTTCCCAAAGCCGGTCTGCCGCTTGTTCAGGGAAAGCCCTTGGCAGGCCGGAACGGTTTGTTTACCTGCCCCATCCGCAGGTTCGGCCGATCGCGGCTCCCACTGGCTTGCAATTTGGGATGTTTTGGGGCCCACTTTACTGATCCTGGAGTCTTGAGCCTAGAACCTATTAACCAGTGGCCAAAAATATCATAAGCCTTCCTGATTAGGTGAATGCAACCAGTTCTCTTGGATCTGGACTTTGACAGGCATTTGTGACTGGTCACTGCAATGCTCTCTAGACCAGTGTTTCCCAAACTGGGGCCGCCGCTTATGTAGGGAAAGACCATGGCGGGCCGGGCCGGTTTGTTTACCTGCCCCGTCTGCAGGTCCGGCCGATCGCGGCTCCCACTGGCTGCGGTTCGCCGCTCCAGGTCAATGGGAGCTGCAGGAAGCGGCAGCCAGTATGTCCCTCGGCCCGCGCTGCTTCCCGCAGCCCCCATTGGCCTGGAGCAGCGAACCACGACCACTAGGAGCTGCAATCGGCCGGACCTGCGGACGCGGCAGGTAAACAAACTGGTCTGGCCCACCAGGGGCTTTCCCTACACAAGTGGCGGCCCCAGTTTGAGAAACACTGCTCTAGACTGCTTCCATTTGAAGACGGCTTAGACTTCGTAGCTGATGCGGATCGTGGCTGGCTTGAAGCCTCAGAGGCAGGCAGCAGACTACACTGGTTACTCAGGAGATGAACTTAACTTCCCATTTGTTTCTGGGTCCACTTCCAGATATTTGATCTGTGAAGCTCTGGCTATCTGATCAGCTGAGGCATTCAAGATAACTGGTTAATAGGTTCTAGATTTAAGCATCTGTGGCAAGCTGTTCTGTGTGTAGGGCTCTCAGTTGTGGAAAGTCTTTCATTTACTTCTGTTTTGAGAGAGCCAGAGCTTATTGACAATTAGGCCCATCTCATCTCCTAGGTCAGTGTTTCCCAAACTAGGGCTGCTGCTTGTTCAGGGAAAGCCGCTGGCAGGCTGGGCCGGTTTGTTTACCTGCCGTGTCTCTCGGCCCGTGCCGCTTCCAGCAGCTCTCATTGGCCTGGAGCAGCGAACCGCGGCCAGTGGGAGCCATGATGGGCCGGACCTTCGGACGTGGTAGGTAAACCGGCCCGGCCCGCCAGGGGCTTTCCCTACACAAGCGGCGTCCCAAGTTTGGGAAACACTGTCCTAGGTTTTGCATAAGGAGGGGTTGGGTGGGTTGGTATTTAGGATATTGGGTTTTTTGGTGTGTTGAGAGGAAAAAGTTAAGGTTTTAATTTTTATTAAACTCACAAAAGGTTGTCTTTCAAATGTTGTACATGAAGCTTGAGTTTTGATAAATACGTTTATGCATCTAAATAAACAAGAAGTAATAAAAAGTAAAGCAAAAATGGTCACGTTTTAGATCTGCCAACCTGGCCACAAGGTCCCTTCTTCATGCTCTGCCATTTCCACTGCTCTTGGATGGTTTCTATGGCAGCTGTAGCAGGGTTCTATATTTAGTGAAAATTCTGTTCTTTCCTCTGCACTTGAGTCTAACCTTTCCTTTGTTTGTTTGATTATGCAGTGAGGCCTAAAATTATGATACAGTTGAATATCTACGTCTGGTTTCTTCCCCCCCCCCAGTTCTTGGGATCTGAGCTTTATATTGGCAGTGATATGGACTAGATGATTTAGTAGGTTTTTTCCATTTCAATTGTCTGATTAACACAATCACAAGTAGTGGGATCCTATATTGAAAGCATGGAAGATGAATTCTCAGTTATTCAGATGGATCTAGGCATGACGCGTTCTATGGAAATACTGTGTTTTTCTAAATAGCTAGGTGGTTACCTAACTTACGCCAAGTGTATAGCATAATGTCCCACCCAGGAACTACAAGTGGCTTTAAAATATTATTTGAGAAAAGTTTCTCTGGTTTAGCACATTTCATAGACCCATAATTACAGTAAATACAGAGATTCCCGTAAAAGAAATACACCTCTACCCCGATATAACACGAATTCGGATATAACGCGGTAAAGAAGCGCTGCGGGGGGCGGGGCTGCGCGCTCCGGCGGATCAAAGCAAGTTGGATATAACGCGGTTTCGCCTATAACGCGGTAAGATTTTTTGGCTCCCGAGGATAGCATTATATCGGGGTAGAGGTGTATCTTACAACTGTAATTTTGCAGGGTGGATTTGATTTAAATCAAATTGATTTAAATCACTAGTCAGGAAGACTCGATTTAATCATCGATTTCTACATAAAAGTGCATTCTTGTTGGTTGTTATAACGTTAATACATATTCTTCACAACTCAGATAGATGTAGGTTTCATTTTTAGAAGGTACACACTATACATTTTTAAAGTGATTTATTTTGAAAACTTTTCAGATTAGTTTTACAGCTATATTAGAAAATGAATGATTGTTTGGTTATTTCATTTACCAAAGGTAATTGAAGCAGATATTTATGAAGTCATTGGGAGGTGAACTATCTCCAATTCAACAGGTTAATCATTAATATTTGGAGGATTTTCTTGCCATGCTGTATTAGGAGGAGAACATCACCAGACAGGCATTTAAATTGTTTTATTTAATTAAAACAACAACTTTGTGTATTCTGGGTTTTTTTTCTTCAACAGCAAACATATAATTTTTTAACAAAATAAGCATATGAATTTTTGAAATTAGTTAAACATTCAAGTTTTTTAAATTCAGGTTTGTTTTTGTTAAAATTGTTTTTAACTAAAATAGTTAAATGAAATATTAAAAAAAAAAAAAATTAAATCGACTATGTCAGCCAGGTCAACATGAGAAACTTAAAATATTGGCTTCTGCAGCTAACTCAGTCGTTTTCATCTTCATTTTCCTGTTTGTTCATAATCTGGAAAAGAAAAACAAGCTTTCCTGCTTTTTCAGGTCCCAAATGATTTCTCAATTTGGAATGAATTAGTCCAGGGGTCGGCAACGTTCGGCACGCGGCTCGCCAGGGTAAGCACCCTGGTGGGCCGGGCCAGTTTTATTTACCTGCTGATGCGGCAGGTTCGGCCGATCGCGGCCCCCACTGGCCGCGGTTCGCCATCCCG